CGGTGGTCTTGTTGCCTACCATATCAAGATTCAGGCGCTGAGCCAGGAAAGTCAAAGCTCAAGCATGTTTAGACAATACGTACAAAGCGGTTTTGAACCTCTTAGTTCTTCAAGCTACATGATAGATGTGTTTTACTCATGGTAGATGATAGATGTGTTATCTGATATTCAGTCAGCTTTGAGCCATCACCAGAAAACCATATGGACTTTTTTTCAAATAGGAGATCCATTCTATTCTCATCAGAGTAGCCGCAAACGTACTTTACGGCTATAGCGTTATTCTCATGTAGTCTGTTCCTTTTGGGATAGTCTCTCTTGCACCCACGTTGCAACACTGTATTCACTACAGTATGGCATTGTAATGTCTGCGTCAGTCCGAAATAGGCTATTTGTTACACCGTGATTTTTACATTGATCTTGCTAGTAGCGCTTTGGATCAGAAGATGCTTATACTCACAATCTTGCTTGTCGTTGCAGGAACTGCTTACCAAACGGTTTGATGATGAATGGTAATAATGGGTACGGTTATCGCCACGGCACCAATGCGCAGTTACTGCATCAGATGCAGTCGAATGCTTTACATCAGCAGGTACGAATTTTTATTAAGTAACCTTGTTCTTAGTCCCATTAGCGTTGCTTACATATCAACCATGCAAATGTGATTTTACAGGCTCGGGTACTACGAAATTTTGTACCAATTCCGCTTCCGTTTTACGATTGGCACAAAACTGTACTAGAACCTATGGAACTGCCGCCTATCATGTCGGGGGTAAAAACTCCTTGCAAGGTACGCAGAAAACTGTCATAAATTTCCTGTAAATGTCAACCTTTATTTGCAGCAAACCTTCACATTCCTGTTGCCAAGAGAGTACTTCTTAAATTGGTCGTCTAACAATACGCTGTTACCCCGATATGAAATGCAGCTTAGGTGAGTTGGATAATGCAGGCTGTCTGTATTGTATTTTTTGACTGCTCAGGCAACATTTTAAGATGAGACCATACGTTTCAGATTTTTCCAAGTGCCTGAAAATTACGCCTCCCAAGAGCTACCGGATGATTTTCCCCTAAATTGCGTAGCCCGAGTAGAGGAACAGCATGTCAATCTACCGGTAGGTTCGGTTGATCTGGTTCCTACCAAGGGCTACTAGATTTTTCTGCTAAATTATATTTTAGGCTCTTATCCCTACCAACAAGCCAAATGTGGAACCGAAACGACCGTCACGTCCTGTGGACATAACGCAGTACTGTTTGAATGTACGAGATTACAGTCGACCGATGCGCTTGATGGTAGAATGGACCGGTGACAAGCGAACATGGGCAGTCGCAATCTATTTGGTGCGTTCAGGTGTCGGTTGGTTTTATAATATTTATGTATTGACATTATCTCTTTCAGGTTTATCGAGTGACTTCGGAAATTCTGCGGGATCGTGCTACCGGTGCGGCAAAGTCTAGTGATGGCAATAACGAACGGCCAGTATGTGGTTTTGCTTTCTGCTGTGATTGATCTGCTTGTACCGATTTGTTTTCCAGAATCATCGCCAAGAAGAAAGCGTCACAAGAAATTTGATCCGAGCACGGTTAGGCGGTGGAAATGATGATGAAATAGCAATGGACCAACTCAAAATTAGTCTTTTATGCCCGGTGAGTTTTCAGTGAATTGAACCGTGGGAAGTTAGGTTGAGAACCATATCCGTATCCGACATGGGCAACGCCGTTATATTGTATCCACATTGCGCAGCAACTATATCTTTTATAGAACATTTGCAAATAAAACGACTTGTTCTGAATAACTTCAGAATTTTGAGCAGTGAATTTTCTGACTGAAATATTCTCCCGACAATTAGAATTTTTCCGACAGTCCCTAGTGTCGTCGCTTTACCGACCTTCCTACTCATATTTTAATCACTTTTGACAATATCTTTGATTGACTGGTGTCAGATGACCAGCTGAGCTGCTAAAGCTGATATCATTGATCTAAAGATGTAAATAGCTCAGGTGATTAAGAATAGTATAGTGCACGTC